GTTAGAAAGAATCCTTGGCTTGGATCCAAGTGATCCAATCATCCCATTCACCCTTTTCCTCGGCACCTCAACCACTTTATGGTATGGACATTCCTTTTTGTGTGTGTTTTAATTGCATGTAGAACTGGATTTGTTGTTCCATGGGGAGTTTATATCGTTTACCAGATATGTACAGGGCATTTTACTGGCTATGGAGATATGGTGGCTACTCTGGTGACCTGTCTCCCAAACTAACTTTGGAGCTCTTGTCTGGAGACAAGAAAGCTATACTTATTGATATCCGACCCGAGGCAAGAGACTGTAAATCTTTCTGGCCTATAATTTTGTACAATCATGTTGGAGATTATTGTATTCACTTCTAAGAGGCCAAATCAAATGGCTTATTTTAGTGCTTCATTTGTCCTTTGCTTTAGGGATTCTACTGATAATGGATGGTTCATTTATAATTGTAAAATTATTTTCTTCATATTCTTTAAAGTTCTAAGTTTCTTACAGTCTTCATTGCTGGACTTAAAATTGTGAAGGCTTTAAGAGAAAGAGATGGCATTCCAGACCTTAGAAGAGCTTCTCGTTTTCGTTATGCCAGTGTAACATTACCTGAGGTGAGTTCAAAAACCATGATCTGACTTTGTACTTGGAATTTCTATCACTTTGCTTGGCTTCTGATTTTTAACTAGTAATTGGCAGCTACTACTTGCTTTTGACTGAGCTTTATGTTTAATGGTCTTTAATTTAATCAGGTTGGTGGCTCAGTACGGAAGTTGGTGAAGGGTGGAAGAGACCTTGATGACACCTTGGTTGCTGCTGTTATCCAGAACTTGAAGACTGTTCAGGTACACAACTAATTACTATTAAAAGCAAGCTTTCTGAAAGAGCAAATAAAATTATTAAGCTCATACTGACCCAACTCTATAATGCTGTTATGTCTTCACAACTTAGAGCACGGAGCATCTAAATATTTCTTTTCTCTCTTTCCTTTGTAGGACCACTGTGATTGTCTTAAAAATATCATTTATATAAATTACTTACACTTTTAACTGTTCAAATGTTAATGGGTTTTCTTACACAAATGATGTGAAACAATAATCTTTGTTTAGTCTTGACTTAAATAATCTTGCCCCTTTTTAACTGTTATACCTTCAATCTAGATTTATGACTGAGGATGAAAGCTATTGAAAAAGGGTCATTTTTGTTAGATGCATACTTTCTTTTCCTGACTTGCCATAAAAAATATTTAGTTAGATTCTATTTGCACTTTTATATTTTTCTATTTATATCTAGCTTCAGAACATTGCTTTTCTGCTACTTGTAGGATAGGTCCAGGGTGATAGTTATGGATGCTGATGGTACTACTCATTCCAAAGGAATTGCCAGATCATTGAGAAAGCTTGGAGTTAAGGCAAGTTTTCTAGTTTCTATTTTTTACATTAGAAATGGTGTATAATTTGATAAATATGAAATTAAGAGGAGGAAAAAGAGAATCATATCATCCTAAAATTCATGTATGCTAAGGTTTTCTTCTGGATTTTGACATTTATACTGCAATTTCATCATTGAGAACTCCAATGCAGCAGAAATAATTTTGTGTAGTTTTAGGAGTTTTTAAGATCTAAGAGTATGTCTACAATAATCTAGCATAATGCAAGCTTATCATAAATCCCATAGGCTTGTCAGTTGTCCCTTTTGGTAGTAAATAATGCTGGCAAAGGTGATATACAATGATGTACAATAATTAACTAGATCTAGAACAAGACAAAGTGAACCACTGTTAGAGCTTGTTCCATAACTTTGAAAGCCTGAAAGGGAATCTAAATTAAAGTACTAGGAAATCGAATTTATAACTCCATGGCTACCAAGGGATCTTTGTTTTATAGTGTAATGTCTCTGTTGTTTTAGGCTGATGACTTAGGCTTGATTCCAGAAAGGTTATACTTTCCTAGTTAAGCTATTGTAACATCAGATGATTTAGCATAGCGGAATGGTTGTCAGCCTGCCTATTTGGCTTGTGAGATGAAATTTTAGAAGTACTGCTTATAAGCTTGTTAGAATCTGTAGTCCTAAGGAATTATAACTTTGCTAACTAGATTTGTCTGGAAATAAGCATTGCTGAAGAGATTGCATATTCTAATTATTGTTAATACTCTACATTGCAGAGACCATACATGGTCCAAGGTGGCTTTCAATCTTGGGTGAAACAGGGTTTCCGAATTAAGGAGCTTAAATCTGAGACAACCCTTACCATGCTCAATGAGGTATTTCTTATATTGGTGCGAATTTTTCTGTCCTGCATTCTCTTTTCTATAATTTCCCAAAGGATGTATTAATCCACATGTCTAATTTAACATAAAAAAGATAGAGTTTGATTCATAGGAACATTCACGTGCCCTGTGCAATTTGTTGTGTTTGTTCTCTATATCCTTTTGGTCATGTGCATTCGGGAAGTTTTAGGTTAAAAGGTTCAAAATCAAGTCCTAAAGTTTGGATGCCAACAAAAAAATGGTCCTAAAGTTCAGATATTGTTTTTCATCCTAAAAAGAAAAAGGTTATATCAAATTGGATCCTGTTGCCACAGTGGCCTGGTGTAGGACTTCTTTTTAATGATTTACCAGCAATAGGATTGTCTTATCTTCTCATAATATGATTTACAAAAAGGGGAAAATTTTTTTTCTCATAATACTAATGCATATTGATTTTCTGCCAGCCTTCTTTCCTTTATAATCATATAGCTAAAGCTTTAGCTCTTTCTCTTTTAAAATTTATTTTTTTATCCAAACTTTATCTCGCTTTAGGAAGCTGAGGCAATCCTAGAGGATGTCAATCCTTCTCCAGTGCAGCTTCTTGGGTATGGTTTGGTAAGACTCTGATTGCTTTGTTTATTCACATTGCTGATTCCTTGTGTGTTGTAAATTTGTAATTTACTCCCCAAGTCCTAACTAGATGAGTTGATCAAATATCATTGTCATTATTTTACTTGTGGGGTGTCGCATAAATGAGTTGGATCCACTAATAAATGTATTTTTTATGAACAGGGCTTTGTAGCAGCATTGTATGCGCTACTAGGTGTGTGCTTATATGACCAGTATGCTTTATGTTGTTTGTTGGTTTAGTCCAAATGATCATTTAGACTGAACTTGATCTTCGAGCTGTTTTAGAGGAAATTTCAGTCTTGATGGTTATCTAATATTTGTTGGCAAAACATTGTTTCTGCTTTTCTACTCCATCCTTTGTAGTAACTGATCACTTTTTCTATTCCTTTCCCTTCTTATTGCAGAGTGGGAGAAAACTTTACAGCTTATTGGTATATTTGGCCTTGGCCAGGTATGCATGCTCTCCTCAGCTTGTCTGGTCGTGATCTTTGATTTATTGCAGATATGGATTCTTATGTTAATTGAAACTGAGGCAAACTTGCAAGATTTCCAAAATTGTCACGTCAAACGCTTATGGACAATTTTAAGTGTTGAATGACTATGATTATGCTGAATTTTATAATCTTATAATTTATGTGACACATGTATTGAAATTTGACTTGTCAGACACTAGAATATGTTGAAATAATTTTCTGATCCCACAATTCCTGATTCCCTTTCTCCTTGTTACTCTACCAGACAATTTATCGACGGGTTGCTTCATATGAGGATTCTGAAGATTTTAAGAAAGACATCAGGTAAGCCCACTTCATAACTCTCTCTCTAATCTTCAAAAATATGATGCTGATATTTGATACATGACTTAAATGTGCCATCTATGGATTATTGTATCTTAGTTACATTAAAATCTGACAAAAGATAGGCTCTCTCACCTCTCAAGTTCTCATTCTAGTTGTATATCCAAATTTTTTAGTGCATGCAGATACAGGCATCCATTAATTTTCATGTGTTTTGGTTATATCTTGAAGGTTGTTGCTGACTCCTGTCCGAGTTGGAGCTCAAGCATTTGCATGGGCTACTGTAAAATTAGAAACCAATCGCATTGGACTGCCAAC